AGAAGTGAGTCACTGTGGCTTGGTCTTCCAAGGGTCTACCCCTCCCCCTCATTCCTTCATCATTCTCTGCTTCCTGTGTGCCGTGCCATATGCAACCCTCCTCTGCCATACCATCCTGCTCTGAAGCCAGCCAACTATAGAGTGAAACCTCCTTAAACTGTGAATCAAAATAAACTTTTCCTCTTTTAACTTTGGTGTCAGATATTTTATCCCAGCAATGAGAAAAGACATGCTCCAAGACTCACATATTCCAATCTTTGCTCTACCTAAATTCACTCTTCTGATGATGTCACTCCCCTCATAATTTTACATGCCAGTGAAAATAAACCAAATTTTTCCCTCTTCTAGACATTCTGCCTGAATGTCTGGTTTTTCCCCAAACATGTCCCATCAACTCCCATTTCTATATGCTACTAGCAATTTCATTCTTTGATTCATCAGGCCAAAAACTTTATTCTTTATTCTCCAGTTTTGCTCACATTGAATAACTAGCCAACACCACAGATTTACCTTGCAAAGAGATCCAGAAGCCAAGAGTGGTGACAAACTCCTGTAATCCCAACATTCAGGAGGCTGAGGCAGGGGTTCAAGGCTAGCCTGAGCTATAAAGTGAGTTCAAGGCCAGCCTGAACTGCCTGGTGAAACCCTGTCTCAAAAAGACAAAAAAAAAAAAAAAAAAAACACCTGCTTAGGCAGACCAGGGACCAGAGTTCAATCCCCCACATGCTGTGCCAGCCCCACCCCCAGGGCACACTGAGACAGCGATTGAGACTGGGCATGGTGGCGCACACCTGTAATCCCAGAGCCTGGGAGGCTGAAAATAGAAGGATCACTACAAGCCCGATTTGTGTAGTGAGATCCTGTAGACCCTGTACTAAATAGTTTTTTTTAAAAAAGACAAAAAAAAAAAAAAAGAAAAAAAAAAAGAAAGAAAGAAATCCAAACTCCAACGAATTCTATGAAGTTAACAATGGAACTTCAACATCTGCTCAGGGGATTGATGAAGCATACTTCTAAGTATGTCTGGATCAGTCAGAAAGGAATGGCCTTGTGGTTAATGTCTGACCCCTTACTCTGGTTCTCTGACTCAGTCTTCTGCCATTATATCTCTGCCTTGGAGCCGAGTGATCACTGGTTGAAACTGTAAGCAAATTAAACTTTTCCTCCTTGCAGGTGTCAGGTATTGTCCAGCTAAAACGGCTTTCACCATTTCATCTTGCTATATCCTCAGTCAAATCCTAGGACTCTTCCATGGAACATTACAATAGAACCAACTGACTAAGGATCTCCATCTATTCTACTTTTAGCTTGTACTTCTGCTCTAAGGCCCCACAAAGTAGTCAGAGCCATTCCTTTAAAACATCAGTCAGGGGCCAGCAAGATAGCTCAGCGGACTAAGCACCTGCCTTAGGCAAGCGCAGGGACTAGGGTTCTATCACTGGCACCACATGCCACGCCAGCTCTGCCCTCAGGTGCACTGAGCCAGGCACTGAGTCCAGCGATGGTGGCACACACCTGTAATCCCAGCACTGGGGAGGCTGAAAACAGGAGGATCACTCATACCAAATACATTAAGAACAATAATAAATAAAACATCAATCAGATTATGTCATTTGTCTGCTACAAACTCAATGATTCCCCAGCCATAATGAAACAGATAACTTTCAAAGATCTACAAGCCTCCTGTCAAACCCCTATTCCTGTATTCTCTGTCTTCTTGCTGCCATTTGTCTTCACGGCATTTATCAACTAATTATGCATGGTTTATTCCTTTAGTTATTTTATTATCTGTCTCCTCAACTAGAATAAAAGTTCCATCAAGATTCAGATTTTTGTTAGCTTTGCTCATCGTTATATTGCCAATATCTAGAAATCTGGTACATAATACTTGCTCAATATATATTCAGTGAATGAACAAATAGTATTTACAATCGAAAATTCAATAGATGTTAGTTAGCAAATCTACTAGCTGTTCCAACTATATGAATTAACTCACTTAAACATCCTAAGAAAGTTAGGTATTACTGTTTTTAATCCCATTCTGGAAATGAATTAAGGTACAGAATAAGGTTAGGAAATTAAGGTTGAGCAGTTTGCCTAGACTGTATGATGGCACAAGCAGGATTTGAACTCAGGCACTGATATCAGAGCCCACACTCCAAGACACTGGAAGACTGGAGGAACATAATCACTATGCTACATTCCCCTCCCCGCCAAACTGGAGATTGAACTCAGGCCCTTGCACTTGCCAGACCAGCACTTATTCTACATTTATTTTTTTTGAAGCATACTGTTCTGAAAATTGATAATCAAGGTACTTGATATTAATTTCCCTGGCCTCTTCCCATCAATGTTCCTGGTAAAGTATATGCACAATGCACATTTAAAAGCTCTCATAGTACTTCTAGAAGCATAAACAAGGAGTAAAACAGAGCAGTTATATTGCTGAGAACTTTCACTAATTTTCCGGTATTCATGCTGAATTAATCAACTGACATATTTACGACTTTAGCAATGGATAAAAAGCACATATCAATAATTCAAGGGCTGGTGAGATGGCTCAGTGGTCTAAAGCACCTACTTAGAACAAGCTAAGCTAAATAAAGCACAGGGACCACGGTTCAATCCACAGCACCACCTGCCGGCCAGCCCCGCCCCCTGGTGGGCTGAGCTGGCCACACACACACACACACACACACACAAAATAAATAGTTTTTAAAAAAAATAAAATAATAATTCAAGAAGGGTATCACAGAAATGAAAGGCAAGCAACATTTCTTCAAAAATAAAATGCAGGACTTTTGGTACAAGAATTTCTAACCAGGCCTCTAAATACCTTAGACTTCTCCTTAAAGTATATGATTTCATGCCTAGAAGAATCACTGTCAATCATGCACATATCATTTGAAGAGTATACACTCACAAGTTTACCCAGAGTCTCAGTTCCTATTTATCCCAATTAATTAAATCTAAATATAAATTAAAAATCAAAACTAAGTATGTGGATTTTTTAGTTTTCCTTCAAGAATAACCCAAAATCAAAATTACTATACCAACCTATTAATCTGTGTCAATATACCTAATTTAATATCTTATCCATAAATACAACTTGGATCACATACTTTTTCACTTAGTAGTTATTACAACCTCTGGTTCCTTTAAATCTCTACAAGCAGATCTATTTGGATAAGACAACAGTCTACTCATTATGTAAAAAAGGTAATACTCTGTAACTACTGAAATTAATATGTGTATATCTCTCTTGGATTACAGGACAGCAATTCCCCTAAATAAATTTGGCAATTTCCCCAAATAAACTGAGTGAGTCTTTGGAAAGTCACTGAACTCCATTTCATAACAGTCTTTCTTCCTCCATAAACGAATTAAGAGGGCTGGAGAGAGAGCTTGGCGGTCTAAGCACCTGCCTGGCAAGCAAAAGGACCAGTGCTAGATCCCTGCTGGCCCCCAGAACCCAGGACAGGCCATACCAGCCATGAAAACCAGGAGGCTGAGACAAGATAATCACTATGAGTCCAAGCTGTGTAGCAAGATTCTGTACCAAATAAATAATTTTTAAAAATGAATTGAGTCATCACTACTTCCCTCCATCACATAATATACATCCATGATAGAACCTGTTTCCTGAACAAGTAGCTTATATGACACTAGTAGGTAATCCTTGTGAATACTGTAACTGTGTGAACACTGTATCTGTATGAAGCCAGAAAAAAAAAGATTCAGATTTACTGCACTAAATTCTGAAATACTGACAGGAAGGACAGTGAATACTCTTAACACCCAGTAACATCTCCCAACAAAGACATATGTTCCGAAAATGTTATTAAAGAACACTTTTGAAGTACCATATTTGATTCTGGGAATATTTCTGGGAAACTAAGGTACTGACCTACAAAAAAAATTAATTTTAAAGCTTTAACAAAAAGTGCAATAACTACACTTGCAACTGCGAAATAATCTCCAAAAATTCAGTGTTAAACACAAAATATCCAGATATGAAGTTCTACTGAAAAGCTGTAAAAGACAGCTAAGAAAATACTTAAAACACTGGTCATATAAGTAACTCCAACAGAAATGTTCAAACTATTCACTTTATCCACCCAAAGTGCTCAGTTATAACCACCTAAAACTATCACTCAGAAATGTATTCATCCAAAGAAAGCAACCACCTGAATCTCAGGTTGTATTTTAGGGGGCCCAAGTTAAGCCCATTTTTTTAAAAATCGTATAAGATTTTTTGCGCAAAGGGAGAAAAAAAGGAAGGAAATAGGTGGGAAGAGAGGGAAAGAAGAGAAACTTTAAAACCTGGAAAACACCTTCAAAGTGCTAATTGTAATGAGACCTATTCTCTTGATGGCTGTCAGAAAGTTTAAACCTGAGATCTCCCTCTTCTTCGGTGTAAAACTTTAGATCTATCCCCGCCCATCCTGAAGTCAAAGCAAAAAGATTATCATCCCTCCCAGAACCCCTACTCAGTCCACAGAAGAAAAAGAACAGGATCAAACCCTGAAGTAGAAACGTGAGATCTATACCATAGCTTCCACTGCCTCGAAGGCAACAACTACAAATCATCTTTCTTTTCAAATAAAACCCTACATCTTCTGCTGTTTCCAAACAAAAAAGATCATCTTCAACATTTTAAACTAGCCCTACGAACCCACAGATCCACCCTGACCGCATCCCAAGCTCAGGGTCTCCCCAGTTTGCCTTCCCACTCACTACCTTTGCCCGCACGATCACGCCTCACAACCTCCCACCCGCCTTCTTCGGAGCGCCCGGAGCCACCTCCTCCTCCAGCCCGGGGTCCCCGCCGCCGCCGCCCCAGCCGCCACCTCAGATCCCGCCCCACCCCGGAGCCTGCAGGGTGGAGCCCGCCGGTGGGCTGCCGGTCCGGCGGAGCACAGCACACCCCACCCCTCCTCACCCTTGGGACCTCCCCAGCCCCCAGCCAGCGGCGGAGGGGGAGGGGTCCCGAGCCTCACCTACAGCTCCGCCCCTCCCCGGGGGCGCGCTGCCCTGCCCAGCCAGGGCCGGAGCGAGGAGCCGGTGAGAGCAGGCGAACGCCTCAGTGCCAGCGGCAGGCTAAAAGCGACAGGTCCCGCCCGGCTCCTAGCACCATAACCGCCTCATCCACCTCTGAGCCACCGCCGCTGCTGCTACTGTTGCTGCTGCTGCCGCCGCCGCCGCTGCCGCCGTCGCTGCCGCCCCTCCGCCGCCTCTACCACAGAGGCCGCCACAGCCACAGCCACAGCACGGTCCGGCGCCCCCGACGTCACCGCGTCCCGCCCCCTGCGCGAGACACCTAGCCCCGCCCCCGCCAGGCGTGCGACGCCGGGCTCCGCCTCCAGCTCGCGCGCGGCCGCCTTTCCTTCCTTCGCTCCAGGAGAGTGGCGCAGGGCCAACCCCTTCTTGAGCAAGGGAAAAGGAGGCTGCCAGGCGGCAAGTGGTAACCGGGCACCCAAACTAGTCGCGGGCGTGATGCGTAGGCACGTACACAGAGCTCTTCGCACGCACCCACACGACCCCTGCGGCCTCTGGAGGGGCACGCCGGACAGTCTCTGACCAGAGGCAGTAGGTGGGAGCGAAAGTAGCAGGGTTTGGCTCCTGCTGCTTGCCGTAGGAAATGGATTGCTAGAAGCCAAGGAGCCGACTTGCCCATCGCTCAAACCGCCAAGCCGCTCCACCCCCACGGCCCGGAACCAGAGCCGCCCTGAGGAATTGCGCTGGGATTGACGCTGGAGTCACGGCTGCAGTGGGCGCCGTTTTTCCGAAGGAAGTTGGATTTTTCCGCTCACCCCACAGCATTTGCGAGATGCGACCCTCGCAGAAGGTAGTGGTCTTGACTGAGACCCTGGCACTGTATCCACAGACGTTGCAGAAGACACCACCGCAGATCCCTTTTCTGTAGTGATTGTGCCGGGAAGTGAGAGTGGGCGGAAATGAAAGTCCACATGCAGTCCCTGCTCCCTGCCAAACGTTACCTGTTTTATTTAGCCTTCACAACACCAGGGCGAATCTACCCACCAGCTGGTGCCTTATTTTTCAAGCAACCTAGTATTCCGTACTGAATCAGTCAGTATTCTTTTGTCAGAGCCTTACAAAGAGTATGACAAAGGCCGTTAATTTAAATATATAAACTATTCCTGAACCGAGAGTGGTATGAATTATACTTATTCCCAGGCTACCATTGTTTATTAACATAATTTAGAATGCTTTTGAGATGAGAAGCGTTGAATCATTTTACTCAGACTTACCTCCCACCACCATAATTAACCAGTTTACTGTCTCATTCAATTAACATTTTCCCATCCCTCAGTAATCAAAAAAACTGTTTTATCTGGCCCAGGTTCTCCAGTTGCTCCCTCCCAGGATCCTCTTAGATCATTACAGCTACTGAGTAGACTGCCTGCCCCCTCCCGTACTACCGCGTAGGACTAGCAACTATATTAAAGTTCATGCTTTTTGCACACAAGCTGACCATATAGTTGCCAGTCAAGAATTCTAAAATAAAATAGTTCATGGATATCTAAGTGTCCGCCCAGGAAAAGCCTTCTTTTTGAGGCAGGATCTCACTTTGCAGTCCAGACTGGCCTCATCTCACTGCAGTGTTCCTGCCTCAGCCTCTTCAGTGCTGGAATTTCAGGCATGCACCACTATACCTGGCTAAAAATTGACTATTTTCAAGACCTTTCTCATCCAACCCTTAAAGGCTGTTGTCAGTTTGCAAGGGAATAGATTTAATACAGGACTCATAATTCATAGGATTATTTTATAATATTCACCCAAACAGTCAAATGCAGAGAAGTGCAAGAGATCTGTCCACATGCTACAGACCCAAAGAATCCAGCTGAGGACCTAAAGTACATGGTAATGTCCTGCACGAGACCTAGAATCCATGGCATTGTTCTCCATCAGTCCAGCTGGAGGTCTAGAGCCCACAACAATATCTCATGCAAATCTGTATCAAGGATCTGCACTGGAAAGGGTCAGAGGTCTGTGATGGAAGCTAGAAACTATACCAGCAGGGTGAAGGATCTGCACTGCAGACAGGAAGTGATGCTCAAAGTAAAGACCAAAGCTCTCCCAAGGAGAACCGAAACCATCCTCAGCAACATCAAGGATCCAAACTCCTCAGATGATGAGAAAAGCTGGATTCATATTAGGAAAACCAGCCCAACAAGCTCGCCAAGAAAATGAACAACATACCATCTTCCCCTCCAATTCTCTTTTTATGCTGTTGGCAACAGTCCTCAGGTGGGTCTTCCACACCCAGAAGCACACTCAGTTCAGCGGGGTGTTCCAGGTTGACCATTAGTGAATCTACCACAAAGTCTAATGGAATTTGCCTTGTTAAGTTTTAGACTTGCTTGGGGGCCTTTCCACTTTCTCTTTCAGAATGGTACTATCTATCCAATGCTGGTTCTACCATTGTATGAACTGGTGAGGAATTTTGCCCAAGTATGATTCATCTCGTGTCCCAGTAACCTTTACCTAAACTGCAGGATCAGAAGTGTTCAGATTTTGAGTATTTTTGGATTTTGGAATTCTTGCATACACATATTTCTTGGGAATAGGATCAAAGTTTGTTTGATATACACCTTATACACATACCCTTGGGAGTGGGGGCTTACTGGTAGAACGCTTGCCTAAGAAGCTGGAAGGCCTGAGTTCAGTCTTCAACACAAAAAACAAAAAATAAATCTCATATATCCTTGAGGATCGCTGTATATGATATTTTTAATAACTTTGTGCATAATACAGTTTCATGGTGGAGAATTTTTCACCTGTGGCATCATGTCAGCACTCAAAAACTTCTGATTTTTTTTTAAAAAACTTCTGATTTTGTAGCATCACAGATTTTCATATTAGAAATGCTTAAGCTGTATTTAAGATTTTTTTTTCATATTTTTGTTTGTTTGTGAAGCAGGCTTTTACTCTGTTGCCCAGGCAGATCTCATATTTGGGATTCATGGAATGCTCCTTCCTCAGTGTCTTAGTTACTTTTCTCATTGCTGGGACAAAATACCCAACACTCACAAGTTAAAGGAGGATAGCTTTATTTCAACTCACTGCAGAGGTTTCAGTCCACAGCCAGCTGTCTCCAAGGCAGGGTGGCATGGCAGAGGGCCATCAGAGAGGAGAAATAGTCCATGGCAAGCAGGCAAGAGACAGATAAGCAGCAGCAGCAGCAGCAGCAAGCTTGCCTTTCCTTTGTTCTGTGTATCCCATCCAAGCTACAAGTTTAATAATTGGTACTAGCCACACCCAGGACTATGTTAATTCCAACCAGTGGGCTAATTAGGTATCCTACACCCTAAATCACACACATCTAGCCAGCCCTAAAATATTCTATGAGCACATGTGGCTTTGTGGGGTGACATCTCAGTCATAACTCTCAGCCTCCCAAGTGCAGGATAATAGCTGTGCTCTGTTAGGCCCTACTTAACCTACATCTAAAGAAGAATTTTTTTTTTTTTTTTTTAGTCTTTTTCAGACAGGGTCTCACTATGCAGTTCAGACTGGCCTTAAACTCACTTTGTAGCCCAGGCTGATGAACTCCCATCTATCCTCCTGCCTCAGCCTCCCAAGTGCTAGGATCACAGGCATACACCCCCAGGCCCTGCTGTGAGAAAACTATATCTAAGTAGAGTTGGTGCCGAAATGGGGTGAGACTATAGGGGCTGCTGGGATGGAGCGAATGTATTTTTCATGTGAAAAGGATTTGAATTTGGGAGATGCAAAGGCCAGAGTGTTACAGACTGAATTGGGTTCCTTTGAAAGTCATGTTAAAATTTAATGCCCAGTGAATTATACCCAGTCTGGTATTTTGGCATTCACCACCTTAGGAGATGAATGTAGACACCATTAACAGAGTGAAGATAATCAAGTGTAGTGGTACACACTGCTAATCCCAGCTAATTGAGCACCTGAAGCAGAAAAATTGCAAACTTGAGGCATGCCTGCCCAATTTTGAAGCCTTGTCTCAAAATAAGATAAATAAGCTGAGTATGTAGCTCAGTGGCAGAGCACTTGTATCCAAGGTCCAGGGCTCAGTAAGAAAAAAAGGAAAAAGACAACAGAATGAGAAAAAATTATAAACATGTACCTGATATTCTGTTTTGAATATATAAATAACACAACATTAAAAAGACAACTCATTTAAGAATGAATGGAAAATCTGAAGAAGTCTCCAGAGATGCATAAACAGCCAATTAAGAAAAAAAGTTGCTTAACTTCATTATTCATTAACAAAATGCTCTTTGATTGTTCATTAATTGAAACTTCATTGATATATAAAACCCTGAAGGATGGCTAAAATTAAAAAAAAAAAAAATAGCAAGTGTTGCTGAGATGTGGAGAATTAGAACCCTCATATATTGCTGCTGGAAATGTAAAATGATATAACCACTTTGTAGAACATTCTAGCAGTCCCTTGAGAAGTTAAAGTTACCACATGAACAGTGATTCTACTCCCAGATACATAGCCAAGAGAATAGAAAACATGTACACACAAAAAAATTATGAGTGGCATTGTTCTTAATACTTAAAAATAAATCATGAGTAACGCCTCCAAAAACCATAGTTTATAATTAATTCCTAACTCTCAAAAAAAAAAGGAGTTTTGCTCAAAGATTTACTGCCCTAACTGGGTAGGATGGCATATGCTTAAAACCCCAGCTGTTGGAGCCGGGGAGATAGCTCAGTGCTTGCCTGGCAAGTGTAAAGGTCCTGAGTTCAATCCTTGGTACCACAAAAAAAAAAAAAAAAGTAATCCTAGCTGTTTGTAAGGTTGAAGCAGAAGGATCACAAGTTTAAGGCCAGCCTAAGGAAAATATTTCCAAAATAAAAAAGCTAGGGTTATACTCAGGAGTCCCTGGGGTTCAATCACCACTATTGCCAAAAGAAATAAAACCACTCAGTGGATTATTAACAACAAATACATTTTTCTCATTAAGTTAAAAATCGGCAGGAGTTGTATGCTGGGGGAGGTTGGCTGCCCCACCCACCTATATTTTATAAACACAAATTCAAGTCAGCTCCACATGTCTCCTATTCATGGACCTGGAATAAAGAAGCTGTAGTCACTAAGTTATATTTTTCATGATGGGAAGCTCACAAGAGACCAAGCTATAAAAACTCATGTGAGACCTCTAACCAGATATGTCATACATCCTGTGAGTTCATGTTTCACTAACCAAAGAAAGTACTTCATTTTGTGGTCATGATATGAGCAAGTGTTTGCTTC